TCCTTTAACCATATCTGAAACAAATATTTGCGAAGAAAACAAAAACCCGGCAACAATCACCTTACAAATAAACAAAATGAGTAAAGAAAATAATGACACTTATTCACAGTTCTTATCTAAATCCGAAACTATATTAATAACAAATGATAATATAAAAGAAACAAATGAAAAGATTACATCATTTTCACAAAATTTAGCATTGTTTGTTTCCGTAGATTTAAATTTTAATGAGATCGTTCAGAAACAAATAAATAAACAATTCAGTCATATAGAAAAATTGAAAGCCAAAAATCCAAGACTAAATGACATTATATATATTTCTGATCAAAATAAAAACTTTTATTACATATTTATAAAAAATAATTATTGGGACAATACCTCTTATGAAGATATATTTAATTCCCTAATAAAATTAAGAGACTGGTTATTAAACGATAAAATATTAAAAATTTGCCTACCCAGAATAACTTTTAGCTACGATGAATTAAGTTGGGGAAAAATTAGATCTATGATTAGATTTATTTTTAGAAAAACTGATATATCTATTATCATTTATCATGATATACTAACAAATCCTGAACCTGAGGAAATAACTACAATATTACAAGAGAATCACACTAGTCCTACGGCTGGACACTCTGGTTTTCATCGGACATACAATCGTATAAAAAAACATTTCAAATGGAATAATATGAAAAATGATATTAAAAACTTTATAAAAACCTGTGAATCTTGTCAGAAAAATAAACTCGTTAGAAAAAAATTCGTAAAGCCCATGGAGATAACAACAACAAGCTCAAATCCATTAGAAAAAATATTTTTAGATATAGTAGGTCCTTTACCTTTAACCGAGTCAGGTAATAAGTTCATATTAACATTACAAGATGACTTAACAAAATTTTCTCAAGCTTACGCAATTCCGAATCATGAAACCAAGACTATCGCTGAAAATCTGGTTCGTGGATTTATTTGCAAGTTTGGAAAACCCGATATAATAGTTACTGATCAAGGCCGAGATTTTACTTCCAAATTATTTTCTCAAATCGCCAAGCTTTTTAAAATCAGACATATAAATTGTACTGCTTATCATCCAGAATCAAATGCTGCATTAGAAAGGAGTCACGCTACTTTAGCAGACTACCTTAAACATTATATTAAAGCTGATCAATCCGATTGGGACGAATGGCTAGATTTTGCTATGTTTTCATATAATACAACTAATCATACTTCAACCAAATTCACACCATATGAACTAATATTTGGATATACACCTAATCTACCTAGCAGTATAATACGACCAGTAGAACTCAAATATACATATGAAGATTATTTAGATAATTTAACACTTAAACTTAGAAAATCTCATGAGTTAGCAAAAACGAATCTATTAGAATCTAAAGTAGTCAGTAAAAAATATTATGACCAAAAGATTAATGACACCGTTTTCTTAGAAGGACAATTAGTATATCTCCAAAATGAGCAAACAAAGAAGGGTCAAACCAAAAAACTTACACAAAATTATAATGGACCTTATAAAATTCTAGAGATAAATTCTCCTGTCAATTGCACAATTTTAGTAAATAAAAACCCAATAAAAGTTCACATGAATAGATTGAAACATGCTTTTGTTTCAGGTATGCAATAATATGGCTGACAAATAGTGAACAAATTCACAAGAAATATACCAATACTCCTATCAACAAATCACCTGGAATCTATTACGAACACATAAAAAATGTTCAATTTATTGAAACTCATTGGAACATATTAAGTCATATTCCTTTACAACCTTTTACAGACAAATTAAATTTTGTAGATCTCACCTATCAAAAAACATTAAGACTGTGTCAAAACAAACCAGTTCTTATTGAATTACGATTATGTGATACTTCACTAAAACTCTTAGGACAAATCATACCTAGACTCTTTCAAGATGAACAAACTTTAAAAAACATAATTCTGCATGAACATTTTAGACCAAAACGCGCTCTATTTAATGCAATTGGATCTGTTTTCAGGACCTTATTCGGTACCTTAGACAGTGATGATGCTGAAAATTTCAATAATGCTATTAACAAAGCTGAAAGTAACGAAAATCATCTTCTTGATTTACTAAAACAACAAATTCATGTAGTAAAAGCCACGATTGCAAATTTTAATAACTCTATTACAAATCTAGACCGAAACAAAGTGATTTTTGATAAAAATTTTGAATCAATTACCAATTACACAGATAAAATGAATAATAAATATTTTAATTTAGATTTAAAACAAAAAATTGAAGAACATTTTACTTTACTAACTTTCTTTATAACAGAATTACAACAAGAATATTCTACTTTAATAAACGTTATTCTATTTGCAAGAAATAATAACCTTCATCCTTCTGTTATAACACCTGAGCAACTAATTCAAGAATTATCTAAAACGGTAACGCATTTACCTAGTACATCGACTTATCCATTTCCATTGACTATCGATTATGCTCATAAATATTTCGATATCATTTTACTTAAATATATATATTTTGATAACAAGATTTTAATTACGGTTAGTATACCTTTGGTTAGTAATACTCCTTATTCTCTTTTTAAACTAATATCTCTTCCTATAATTCATCCAACATTAAAGAGACTTACCTTTATTCTTCCATCTGTCAAATATCTTGTTCTTTCAGAAAATAGAAACATTTATGTTACTATTGATACATTAGAAGACTGTTATTCATTAGATGAAGAAAAACTTATTTGCAAAAATCCTGATACTTTCCGATTTACACACACTAATCCAATTTGTGAAACTGAATTGTTAACTTCAATAACAAACATACCATCTAGTTGCGATACTCGTATAATTCAAACAGAATATGAAATTTGGCATAAATTAAACAAACCAAATTCTTGGATATATGTTTTACCCAAACCAACAGATTTAACTTTAAGCTGTCAGACTAGTACGCCAATATCTATTGTTCTTTCAAACACAGGTATTTTTTCTACTTCGAATAATTGCAAAACTTACACCGGATCAACTATTTTGATATCTGTCTCAAATCCAAAAGAAAGTAATTTTCAGTCTATCATTCCAGATTTATCCCTTCCAGAAGTCTGTTGTGATGATATTAAGATAAATAATGAATCCAAATTACACCTTGTTCCCTTACAATTAAATAATCTCGATCGAGATGCATTAAATTTAGCAAGCCATAAACTAGATAATTTAGAGAAAATGACCTCAGAAACAAATATTAATTTTTCAGACACAATAAAAAATAGTTCTTATTTCACTTATGCAATCTTATTTTTGATAAAATGTATGTTACTTTATATTTTATACAGGATAATTAAATATTTTTACCGACGATTTCGTAGAAATCCGTCACATAGTTGTCAACAAATTACAAATTGTTTAACACTAAATATATGTCAAAGTAAACGAAAACATGTACATGAGACAGATTTAAGTATAGATTGTAAACATAATAAAGACAATAATTATAGTGAATCCAAAAAGTGTGAAGAGACTAGTTTCACAGAGACTACACCGATAAGACGAAGTGAAAGACTATCGAGACTAAAAGAAACTATTTAAATGTGTTAAAATAAAATAATAATGTATACAAATGTTTTATACCATTTAAATGAAAATTCATTTTACAATTATTTTCATTCTTACAAAAGGAGGTGTAATGTACCTACCTACTCACATGTAAGATAATTAAAGTATCTATGTATTTCTATATAGTTTTTAGTCACCTGGTATATGTTATTTACAATTATGAAAAGTTCTCATGTATAATCACTAATAATTATTTGCTGTTAGAAATCAGAATCAATACTCTTCATAAATATTTTCCTATTTAGAATAAATAAGTTTCGCTAGTTTATTCGCCTAATACTTCGTATCTATGGAATAATAATAATTTATTTCTCTTATTTCTTTGTTCGATAAGCTATCCGTATTTGCTATTTTAATATTAATATTTGAGTCCAATCTCTTGTACTCAAATCCATCCAGAAACATCGTTAAATAATTGTAGATAACAGAACTTATAAATTCATAGTTTTAAGAAATAACAGGCAGTGTAATTTTCATCCTCTAATATAATAAATTTATACATGTCAATATATTCTGTTTAATTCCAAAACAAAGAGTTAGTCCGGAGAAGAAATAAACGCATAGTATTCCATAACAATACGTTGCAATTTAGACTTACATTTTGCGTAATAGATTAACAGTTTTATCTCCCTAAATACACAATATTCTTAAATCTTAAAGAGATACAGTAAATAATTGATGGATTCGACCGTTACTTGATGGAAATTCATTTTATGTAATAATAAAACACTGAAAACTTTGTTTTCTAACTTCCACAAAATTTAATTTAAATATTATCACTACAGCTGTTTCGGCTGATTGCCTTTCTCAAGTGATCTGTTTTTGGCTTGGGTTTACAAATTTATAGTCTCTAATGAAATAGGTTGAGGAGGGGAGAACTGTTTGTCTCAAGTTGTTCATTCAGAATTATATCTGTGTTTTTTAATTTGTTGATTTCCATAGATTCTAACAAAGATAGCTTAAGGCCTTTATTTTGAATGTGAAGAATTTTAAATTTGTCATTAAAAGAATGATTATGATCTGGAAGGTGAAGTGCGTATGTCGAATCTGTTTTTCTATTCTTGAAAGCCCTTTTATGTTCTGCTATTCGTTTATCAAAGTTTCTATCAGTGTGACCGATGTAAGTTTTTGGGCAGTCGCCACATTGTAGTTTCTACACACCACAATTTAAGTGTTTTTTATTTTGGCTCTTGTTATTTTTAATATATTTGCCTAGGTTGTTATTTGTTGTAACAAGACCAACAGACCTGATAAGACTTTCAGCAATGAATCGAGAAATATGTAAGGCGGTGCAAAAATATGGCATATCACAGACGTGATTTATATCTCATAGACATTAGTTCTTGACATAGTAAGTTTTGTAATTAATATAGAAGACACATTCACTTACCTCTGTCAACGATCTTTCCAAACAAATTCTTGCCCCGAAGAAAATTCCTCGTCGAACAGTTCCACCGTTGATTTCTAAACTGAAACTGACATTCGTGGATGGCCATCTTAGCACCTTTGGCGATGGCATCCAGAAGTCCCGGATTTTCTCTCGCTAATCTCCGCTGTTTACGTCGAAGAGTTCCATAATACGCCGAGGAGTCTAAATATGGTACACCAGGGGAAAGGGGTGATAGGTTGTTTGGCTCCCCAGCTTTGGCAATACCCTAAAAGAGAAAGAGTTAAAAAGCAATTATTAGTTTTTTAATTTACTTTGATAAAATATACTATAATAATTGGCTATATTATAAAACAAGGTGTTAACAATATCGCTATCCATTTTAAGTTGATTCCTTCGTCGACAATAAAAAATTTTCTAATTAAAAAGAAAATATATTATTGTATTATCTAATCAAAACTTATTTAACAAAATTTACGAAAGGATGGGGAAAATATATACAGCGATTTTATCTTCTTTAGTTAGTCCCGGGTTAGTCGCTTATAATTTCTTGTAGTTCTACAGGTCTATCTATAGGCAATAATAACGATGTCCTCTACAAATCTTAATCTTAAGATGGCTGAGGTATTCTACATCTATGTATAGGCCTTTGTTCTGCCATTTTATGTTGCTTAATACATTTTCTAAAGTTGCAGTGAAAATCTTTGGCGATATTGCGTCTCCTTGTCGTACGCCACTGATAGTGGAAAATTCTGGTTAGTAGAGTGTTTTTGCAAATTTTTACCTTAACTTTTGCTTGTCTGTATATATTTGCTAAAGTATGAATGGACGGTTTGTTAATGTCTTTTACTGTCTTTATATATAGAATCGAAAGCCTTTCCGAAATCTATAAAGGTTAATATTATTTTATATTCTTTGCTATTTAACGACATTTTGTATTCTTTACAACTACGCATTAGCTCTTAAACCATATGAATATTATCCAGGGACTAAATCCACTTCTGAAGCCATCCAGCTCTCTTGGCTGTGCAGCATCAGTGCATTATTAATCTGTTGTTGATTATCTTTCTGAATATCCTGTATATGATTGGTAGTACACTTATATATAGGTCAATAGTTTTTGATATTCCCTTTGACATCTTTCCTATGAATGAGAATAATACCTACCTTTGTAGCATTTCAAATCACTTTCATCATCATCAGTAGCTCGACAACCCTTTCTGGGTCCTGGCTTGTTCTAGGATTTTCCGCCATTCTGTTCTGTTCTTTGCTTTGTTTTTCAGATCTTGTTCCACTTGTTCCATGTATCTAAGTTTGGGTCTTCCCTTTGACCTTCTCCCTACTGGTTTGCCTCATTTCAAATCACCTTGTATATGTTAACATGTTAAACATCGAAATATTTCTTCAATTCTTTTGCATCGCTGGAATTGATAATATAAACATTTAAGTTCGTTTATGTAACACAGATCCACCAATATCTTTGGTATTTCTTTTGCTCATGAAGCCGCTTTCGGATATTTTGTGCGTCAAATAAACAAGAATATTTACGTTTATGCTTTTGTTTTTATTTTTACCGGTTTTTACCAATATTTACCGGTTTGGGTGAATGATGTATTTCTACGATGAATCGTTGAAGTGGTCACTTTATCGTTTATTCCGAATTTTCATCAAATTCGTTATTGTTTTTCGTTTTTGTCATGGAAATACAGTGTAAAGTCATAGTAGCAGTTAAATGTGTAGTTACAGTTGAAGTTGGATTTAAAATTTTGTAAGAGAAAGAGCTCGGTGTGTAATCTTCAAAAAGCCGGCAAATTTTTTATTGTGGAGAGGTGGACCTAATCAAATGTAAATGTGCCAATGTAATGTTTTGTTGATTTGATCACCGATGTGTTGTATTGTGTCCTAAGTGGGAGATTTGTAAAGCAGCGTGACAACAAGAGTGCGAGTTTTGAAGATTACTGTTGATAATCCGAGGCTCGAATCCAGTGTCCAACTTCCAAAGAGTCATCTATTTGGTTCTCTGGCCATTTCAGACCGTTTTGCAGCTTAAGTGAGACACAGTTGTGTGTGTTTACAGTGATTCAATTTTATTCCGATCCAAAAGCTTTCTTAAAGGAAATATAGCAGCCAGTGATATCAGGAAAGAAAAGCCTTTCTTTCCATCCAGCAGAAAGATTCTTGTAAACGGCGTCCAAATTTAAATAGTTTAGGAACCTTCTTGTGTTGTGTTGCCCAGGAAATCTATGTAAGTACTTTTTGATTTATTTTTTTGTAGTTACTCCTTTCAAGTCCCTTTTATGCGCTTACAACCCAGCTCTCCAACCAAACCAAGAGTAGCCGTTCGCAAACGTTTCAATTTATTTGCTTACCCTATCTCCAGCCCAGTAAGTTCTGTCTCCAGTTTCAACCCCCTATAAGTAAAAGAACGGAATATACCCCAGTTTACGGTTAATAAAAAAACGTTAACTGAAAAATGTATTATTAAAGCATATAACTTTAGTTGAGGAAATGAAAAAGCATATATTCTAATTAGTATAAAGTGGGTCAAATCTAATGGTAAAACATTTTGCATTATTAAAAGCCTTATTTACAGATAGAAGCCCGTATTCTATTAAATGTCTATTTATAAATTCTACGACACAGTGATGTTACATAATTACCTAAGAACTGCAATTAATAACTATAATGTATTCCATAGACAAATCTGTATATATTTATGAGTATGTTATTAAAGTTAATTTTATTACAAATTTTATTTATAGCGGCATAATCGAGTGGTTCCCTCGGCATTTAATCATTTGCCTAAACATCACAACAGATGATTTAATTTTACTTTGTTGCAAAACGCCTATTAAATACTAAATAATTACCGTTTAAAATATACCTACTGAACGGCAGACAATAAAATTGTGTAATTTAATGCCTGTTCAATTTTAATATTCAGCTGTTAGTAGTAATATAGAAAGAAGCTTTCCCAAAGGTGACGCCATGGTTTACGGTAATTTTAATTTGGTGTTATGCTTTGAGATATTAATATTTAAGGAAAAACGGTTCCAAAAAGCTCAGGAAGATTTAGACCTTACCGTTACATTACCTTACCTTGCTCCTAGAACTTAACTTACGATCTATGGTGGATGCTGAAAGATGAACTAGTAATAACGAGGTATTTAAAAAAATGAGACATTTAATTTAACGATGCACCAGATATATCAAATGTCAGGACGTGGTCATTCTTCAGCTGTATATGATAAGTTTTTTATCTTGCTAACCATCCATTCTTCTTCTCCAGTGTACGTTTCCTTTTGCACAACGTGTCTGAGAACAGTGCTGTGTTTTTTTTATTTATTTTATTTTAAATTTGCACGTTTCTAGTATTCATTGTACAATTCAAATACAATTAAAACGAGAAAATTGAACTTGCTCCAATTGATTATGCAGGGAAAGATCCAAGGAAAGAGAAGCGTAGGAGGGCTTAGAATGTCATGGCTGCGCAACCTGAAAGAGTGGTACGGATGTACATCAAATGAACTTTTAAGAGCAGCCGTCTCAAAAGTTTGAATAGCTATGATGATTACCGACCTCCGCCGCGGAGATGGCACTTGAAGAAGAAGAAGTATTCATTGCTAATTTTTTATCGGTTTTTACTTTATTAGTGGTTTATTTTTTTAGCTTTTAGTATATATGCTGGAAGAGATTGTCTTTCCGTTTATAACCTTTATAATTCTGTCTTCTCTTGTTTATTATTTGTTCTGACTAATATCGTATATATTATTGCACTTATATAATAGTGAGATCTTGTCTGTCGTTGTGAAACGATGAAGTAGCCATTTAAGATGGTCCTCAACACTATTTTTGTGAGTTAAGCATGACCGAATAAGCTTTAAATATCAGATGACACATAGGTTTCTGCTACCATGTGAATATCGTCTGAAAATTACCTTTTAGTCCCTAGCAGTCCATTGGACAAGAATAAATCAAAGTATCGACCAAAAATAGGCTCGCTAGCAATCGCTAGAACCTATGCGAAAGCCACAAACCTAGGGATAAGTTACTACACAACATATTTTATGTCGTGTGGAAATTTCTAGCTTTAAAGCTTTTTAAGGTACTGGCTCTTACTTATGAGTTAAAGTTGATTTGGTAATATAGACTATCTCTTACGAAACTGGCAACAAACCGACAGGTATGCTTGGTGTGGGTGTCAGATCTGGAAGTGGTGAAGAAAAGTGAGACAGCTCCTATAAGAAACAAACTCACCTTTCCGAGTCCCAACATCAGTAAAAATATTATCGCTCAAAATATTAAATTGTCTCTTCTACTAAGCAAAAAGATAATAAATTTTCAACAGGGCCCTGTATACCAATTGAATGCCAACTGAATACTATTCTCTAGGGTTTCACTTCAATAAAATGTGACTTAGAACTGAGACCAGAGGTGAGCATTGTACCTCTTTCTTTTTTAAATTGTTAACTGTTTCTAATTAAAGTCCTAGTCTATTATGCATTCTAGTTATCATCTTTCAACCTGCCTGTCATATATAAAAAATGTTGCCCCACAAATCAAGGCTACAAAAAAATATTCTTTAGCTCAGTTAGAGATACAAAATCAAAAACTGTCATCAATAAGGTAGAAACAAATACTCCCCACGGAAAATTAGGGTACAGATATCTAGAACACCTCGGACGAATGTGTTTCCAGTCATAGTCATTTGTCTGTGCGGTCAGCATCATTTTTCAGCTGTCGTGAACTGTTGAGATAAATCACGTGTAAAAGGGTTGTCTGATCTTTAGGGATGACAATGGGCTGACTGCTGGAACTGTGGGTTTGATACATATTTATTATTTGTTAGATTTATCTTTATCTTATGAGAAGTGATAGCATGCATTAAAAATAGAATAGTACAGGTGCTTTTCTATACAAATAAACAAGTTCGGTAAAATTTTCTTCTAATGAGGTACATGTCTACTCTAATGTGGTAATAAACACAGCTAGGAAAATAGTAAAGAATATACTACTAAACTAAAGAAAATCGAGAAACCAATTTAAAATAATTATAGAAAATAAGAGAATTACAAAAATCTTAAGAAATATTTTACGCAAAATTTTGGTTTAATCTATTTATTATAAAGGTCTCTTTAGCTATATTCATTTATTTTGAAATCACGGATTAACAAAAATAGTCCAGCAACTGTTTATATAATTCTATAATTGGAATTTATTCTTTTTCTTTATTGGCTGTGTTGGAGATTTTATGGGCTGTATCACCAGTTTATTGGCTTTATGGGAAATTTCTAGAATCAAAAGACTGATATTTTTTTTGTACACACTTATGACAAGTCGAAAGAAAATGTAAAAAAGTATTTTTGAAGTGTGTATATTTTAGGCAATTCCTAGCTGAGCGCTTTCGGCTTTACAAAGTCATCATCAGAGCTATGGTCAATTTTTTAAATACCACTACAAAGGAGAGATCTCATTTCCTTATATTTCAAAAATATGATTTTTGTTAAAATTCTTAAAACATATAAAAACATATAAAAAGCCGACACTGGACTTCACAAACACGTTAAAAAAATTAAAAATTTTTTTGTCATGGTACGGGTGTAAGAACCGACCATTGTTTGATCTGAGGAGGTAGGCAGAATAGCCTATTCTGCCTACCTCCTCAGATCAAACAATGGTCGGGTTCTTACACCCGTACCATGACAAAAAATTTTTTCAATTTTTTTAACGTGTTTGTGAAGTCCAGTGTCGGCTTTTTATATGTTTTTTTATATGTTTTAAGAATTTCAACACAAATCATATTTTTGAAATATAAGAAAATGAGATCTCTCCTTTGTAGTGGTATTTAAAGAATTGACCATAGCTCTGATGATGGCTTTCTAAAGCCGAAAGCGCTCAGCTAGGAATTGCCTAAAATATACACACTTCAAAAATACTTTTTTACATTTTCTTTCAAATTTCTAGAAGTTAATTAGCTTTATTGGTTTTATGGGATATTTACTGGAGAATATATGGAATAACATGTTCTGGACTACCTAACTGCAGCTGTCAGGAGGACCTAATTACCTAATTGGAAGGCCACAGATAATTGGTATCAAGTAGCCCGTCGATGCTATGATGCCATAAGTACAATCCAAATTTTATTCACTGTGAAGCATTGCAGGGTTGATTTTTGCTATTTAAATATTGTATTTTTGATTTTAAACAAATATGTTCTAAATAGCCTATTCTGCCTACCTCCTCAGATCAAACAATGGTCGGGTTCTTACACCCGTACCATGACAAAAAATTTTTTCAATTTTTTTAACGTGTTTGTGAAGTCCAGTGTCGGCTTTTTATATGTTTTTTTATATGTTTTAAGAATTTCAACACAAATCATATTTTTGAAATATAAGAAAATGAGATCTCTCCTTTGTAGTGGTATTTAAAAAATTGACCATAGCTCTGATGATGGCTTTTTAAAGCCGAAAGCGCTCAGCTAGGAATTGCCTAAAATATACACACTTCAAAAATACTTTTTTACATTTTCTTTCAAATTTCTAGAAGTTAATTAGCTTTATTGGTTTTATGCGATATTTACTGGAGAATATATGGAATAACATGTTCTGGACTACCTAACTGCAGCTGTCAGGAGGACCTAATTACCTAATTGGAAGGCCACAGATAATTGGTATCAAGTAGCCCGTCGATGCTATGATGCCATAAGTACAATCCAAATTTTATTCACTGTGAAGCATTGCAGGGTTGATTTTTGCTATTTAAATATTGTATTTTTGATTTTAAACAAATATGTTCAGTGTTTTATTTGCTATCAGCTAAGGGTTCATGGTTTAATTAATAGTTTAAGACAAGACGAATTCACACTTGAGATACTGAGCTAGGCGAAGCATAGACGATAAGCTCCCTTGGTTGAATGAGGTATTATTTTTATAATAGTATTTCAATTCTCTTTGGTAGTCTTATCGTTATATATTGGCACATTTCATTGACACTTTTTTTTTGGGAATATGCCACGATTGTACTTAAAAAAAGTGTATTTTGATCTTTTGATTCTATTTCCACTTTGGAAATCGTCCTCAAAATGCTAAACATTAATAAATTAAACAAATATTAATTTTGGTACTGGGTAAAAAATTCTAATATAATTTTATTTATAAAATAGTTCATTCGATCAGTTGAACTCAACTTAACTTAAAAATACCCGTCAGAGTATTGATGTTATTGGATATCAGAGTTTGATTAATCAAACTCTGATTTTATGTACACGTTATTTTAAAAACGTTAATGATGTATCCTCGTTATTCACTTACTAATAGTGGTATTTTGTTTCAATTGATCTCCTCTTTTAATATGGGTAACCAGGTCCTACTGCATTCTGCCGAGAAATTTTCGACACAATTGGTTTAATTTATCATAATTATAAAGCGCTCTAATTATGCGTGCTCTAATTAGGTTACCATGTGTGTTTACATGTTTGAAATCTATTAAATTCCCTATTTTTGATATAAGATTGATGTTCACTTATTCTAACATTGAATGCTCTTGATATTAATAAAAACGAAATATGAAGATCCAGGTACAACCATGAACTCTACCAACTGTTCAAAGAGACACCGATCTCAGAATTTCTTAAACTTTAGGCTCTTCGCTGGGCTGTTCACGTAGTAAGAATGGAGACAGAAATATTGCCGAAAAGAGCCCTATATTGTAAAATGCAGGGCGAAAGACCAAAGGGAAGGCCACGGAAAAGATGGGAGGATGAAGTGGCATTGGACGCGCAAAATTTGCTAGACGTGAGAACCTGGACAAGATAGGCGCCGGACCGACAAGATTGGAGGTATAGTTTGGTGGAGGCCAATGCCTGATTTGGGCTGTAGCGCCCTTGGAGAGAGATCATTGGAGTCTTGATGTTTCACCTAAATAATAATGTTCGCGTACATAAGGTTATTCTTTGTTGTTCATTGTCAGGTTTAGTTTTGATTTGATAAAATTGATCTTAATGTATTTGTTGTTTTCAATGCTATTAAAATAATAAATATATTTTTTAGTTTTTCCGATAATCCCTTTATGTATGGTATTGTTACTTTCCTAGTATTATTTTTTGTGAATTTTATAGGATCCCGTTCTAAGTCTCTTCTTGAAAATTTCTTTTTTATGAAAGATAAAGCATAATCATTTTATAATAAAACATATGTTAATAAATGTTTTTCCTCTAAGAACGAATTCGCATAGGAAAAGGTAATTTTTATTTCTATCGTATAAGGTTTTCATGATTCCCTTTTTAATATTAAAATCAATAGAAAGAAAATACCACTATTAGTAAGTTAATAACATATCCAGGATACATCATGTATGTTTTTAAAATAATATACATTAAAAAAATCAGTGTTTGATGTTAATATTAGGAGTAAACTAAATGTGAGCGAAAATGCTAACCATGCCGGCATAATATCTTAGGTTTTTTCTTCATGATTTACTATGAGATCATGGTAATCATCTCCCAACAGGAGAATTGTACTGCTATCATTGCATGTGGTTGTCTTTTTAAATGCGAATCACATGGTTTGATTTTTATTGATCTTACAATAAAGTCGGCCCAGGAACGCAACTTATATTCATCATTTTAAAATCATGTACTTTATAATGCATAATATATGTCTGAATTGTCAATATCAATGGGTCAAATAAAATTAAATAATTAGAAGACTTTTTTACCCAATAATAAAAACAACATTTGTTTAATTTATTATTGTTTCTTAAACGGACGAAGTCGAAACATCAAATAAAATTATTTTAAAGTAAAATGGTGGCTTATTCCCAGGAAAAATAGTAAATTCCACTAAGATGCCACAAGAAAATATATACAGAACATCATTTAATACGAACATCAAGAAAAAATTGTTTATTAAAATTATTTTCTTAAAACCAAAGTGTTTATGAGTTTGGAAATAACCAATCTGTACCTAAACAAAGATAGACAAAATAGACAATCTACATCTGTAATGTAAGTAGGCTGGACGTTTGGAAATAAGCAATTTGTATCTTTGAATTTGGAAATAAGCAATCAGATTTTAAGGAATGCAGAAACATTTACTATCTTTAAACCTTTATACTAAAGATATCTTAACATTAACATCTCTTAACTAAATAACAACAAAACATTTTTGTCACTGAAAAGTTTTGTTTCAAAAGTTTCACAAAATTTGCTGTTTCTGTAGAGTACCTTTCGTAAGTTATCTATTTTTTGTTGTGTTTACAATTTGAAGTCATTAACG